CCACTTCTGGCTTTTTTCTTTTTGCTTATGTGGTGCTGAGGAATCGAACCCAGGGTCTCATGCATGCAAAGCAAGTGCTCTACCACTGAGCCACCTTCCCAGCCCTCTGCTACATTTTTAAGCAACATGAACAACTTATACTTTAACGGTATAATCTTTCACAATTCCAGAATTATATCAGTTGGTAATACAGCTTAAGTAGCTGACATGGCTGAAAAGTATAAATGTTTTATATATATATCTATACACACACACATATATAAACACACATACATATAAAACAGAAATATCACAAATGCCAATTTTTCCAACCTAAAAGAAATCCCAAGGAACTACCATTCCAAAACATAACTGGATACACATTTACCATGTACATGCTAGGTTTTGGGTTTTGTCATTTCTGATCTAGAGACTTATGCTTGAATCTCTGAAAATAAACATTAGTCATTTTTATACCTATATACTCCATAAATCCATCACAAATCCTATGTGTGAGTTATGACTCAGCCAAACAGGTCATGGTAGGCTAACAACTCCTCAATCTTAGATTATAAATATTTTTTTGGTTAGTCGTGGGGCTTGAACATGGCCTCGGCACTGTCCCTGTGCTCTTTCATTCAAGGGTAGCACTCTACCACTAATAGCCACAGTACTACTTCCAGTTTTCTGAGGGTTAACTGAAGATAAGTCTCAGGGACATTCCTGCTTGGGCTGGCTTTGAACCATGATCCTGAAATCTCAGCCTCCTGAGTAGCTGGGATTACAGATGTGAACCACTGGCACATGGCCAAGATTTTTTCTATGACAGGAGTCATGAGGAACCTCTCTGTTAGCAAATGGAGATATTTCCACCTTTGGTAGACTGTTAACATGATTCTTATTATTATGGAATTTGTGAAGCCACAATTAAAAATAACTTGTAGGCTTTATTAAAATGAAAAAAGGAAGAAAAGGATTAAATACAAATTCTACATCTCCTTGAAACAAAAATCCTATAGTTGTTTTTGGTGCAAGACATGCCACATCACTGAAGCACTTGAGAATTGTCATGAAATCCCAGCAAAAGTTATAATTGATTAGAAACCAGCAATTAAAAAAAACACCAGAGGCGCACAGATTTTTTTTAAAGGATTTTTATACTATATTAAAAAACCACAAAATAAAAAAGGGATCAATCAACATATCCCTTAGAAGTCCTTCCAAGAGTCTCAGTGTCCAACAGCTATGGAGCTGATGCCTTTTTCTGCCCAGTCTGTAGCTTATTTGAGGATCATCGGAATGACGTTAGTTCTTAAAAATCAAACTTGCTCTGCCAAATCCAAGACCCTGAATTTATCCAAATTGTAGAAACATGCTTTTACCACTCGTCCACCAAAATACCTGCCATTCAGATCAACAACAGCTAAAAAGAAAACAAAAGACAACCAGTTAATAGAAGTATCCTGTAGCTTTAGCTTAAATAACAGTCTAATCTCCAGCCCTTGTAATATTCCTTGACGCTTACTGGTATAACTTACCTTTAATTGCTGATTCAACTCTTTCAAATTCTAAAAATATTCGGACTGCTTCATCATCAGGGGCACCAGGAATCTGGAAAATAAAGTAGAATGAGTAAAGTTATTATTTGAGACACTACTTGTGTTAGAGCAAATTATCATCATGCATGAATAAGTTGTAAATTACTAACTAAGCAAGTGTAATTTATTCATCAGCACAAATGTGCTTAATGTCTGTATTATGCCAGGCATCATGTTAGGAGCAGGTAACACCCAGATAAGAAGCTTTTTTACTTCTTCAAGTAAGCTGCCTATGCCAGCTGACATAATTATGTAATCATCAAACAGCTAAAGATAAAGCAGAGACAGCAGAAATAAAAGCACAAGTTCAGATGAAAAGAATTCATACTCTATTTGCATTTCACCAACATACATTTTGATCAGGTCTAGCTTTGTCTAGCTTTCTAGGCCTTCTAAAGGCTCCACTCCATTCATGCCAGTATCTCCTACTCATCTACCACAGCCACCATTCCATTGGGGTAGGCCTGCTCACCGTCTCCTGCTACCCCAATGGAAGTACTCCCCACCCCATACCCATGTCTGCCTGCTCAGTCCAAAACATAGCTTACATCTGATACTGTGTTTTTTTTTTTT